CACCACCATCATCACCACCACCACCACCACTCGATCGGGACAAACTAACCTCACTTTATTTAAAATCATGTTGTCTCATCCATCGACAGGACTTTATTTATGAGAAATAGTAAAAATCCGTTTCTGCGTAGGTACCTTTGCAGTAAACGTAGGTCTGAAATGTCGCATCGGTCTTCCCCTGTGCGAAAACATCCTCAAATGAGATTTAAGACACTAGTGCTGGGGAGCACTTTAGTTCCTACATTTAAAGGTCAATAGGAACGTCAGCTACGAAGAGCAGCAAACATATGGCAATTATTACTGAAATAACCGTAACTCCTGATTTCCACGTTCTGACTTCTGTAGGAAGGCCAGAAGTTATCGATAGAAATCCGGGGCAAAGGGGAAGTCACTCGATGTAGTTACTTACAATTTGTTGAAATTTCAGAATTCATTGTAATTGGACGAAATTGATGGACTATCCTTTTAGACGTCTTAATTTAGGCGTAATTATTAGTGCGGTAACAGGTTAATCACATTTATGGGGTTGCTAATATCAAAGTAACCACATTTCGTTTTATTTATAGCAAACGCGCAGAAACATTCCACACAGTTGACAGTCAGTTATATTTTCCTTAAGAATTATACTCGATAAAAGACTGTCTTCCGGCTTTTAAAAACGTTGTTCATAACCGAATAATGTTTTCATCCGTCCTGCCGTAAAATCTGAATTCAGGAGTCCACAACTGTATGCTATTACTTTCTGTCAAAGGGATATCTTACATTTCCCTAGGCCCTTAGAAAGGCGTCGTAAAATTGTACAAAAGGCGCGGACCAGGTAGCATACTTCAGAAGTGGCACAAATAAAGCTGCTGAAGCAATACTGTATGAACGGACACTTAGCGGCCTTAAACATCTAACAATTAGAACTTATTGAAACCATAATATTTAAGCGCATAATTTTGAGAAAACACCATTTTTTTCTCATGAGTGCTGAAAAGATTATATTTCTGCTCGTTTTCTAAGAAATATACTTAAATTTAAAAGGACACCGAAAATAAATGGGAAATTTCCGTACAAATTAAGTAGTCTTTTTTAAGAGGTATCATTTATCAGTCCACCGGGAAGAAACTCATTAGGAAGTTGGCATTCTGACTTGACTGACATGTCTTAAGAGTAAGTTGCATGACAATTAATAAAACAATATTAATTAAGTAATCTGTTTGGTTTAAAACATGTTTTCTAGGTGAGGTTAGCATTTCATGGCACAGCACATCTACTGAACATATGGCCGCAGTAGGCCATGTTTTGCAGACGAAAAACCATTTATTACTTAAAGTTCCAGTGAGAACTCCATGGTCCTTGTCGTACTGATGCGCGACGTGCGAAAACGACAGGCAGTTTGATCCCACGGGACAAAATATTCCACAGCTGACTGAAGTTGACTTCGTTGCATGTCCAGAAAGTATGTGTATGAAGGCAGAACATTACACAATACGCAAAGATCGCGCACTGTAGTGTAAAAAGCAATGGCGACGATGTTTTGGCCCTTCTCACACAAACGTTTATGTAGAAACGGGATCGACGTGTCCAGGGTCAGCAGTTAATCCAAAAAGTAGCATGGATGGACACTGAATGTGTTACGCCAACCAAAATTGCTAAGCGACGTTATCTGTGCAGATTATGAAATACAGAGAGTTCGCTGCGGTTATGAGGCCAACATGACCGGAAATCCGCAAAACGAGCCAAATTGTGTTCATTCAATTTTTCTGGAAAATAGAAAAAAGAGGCGATGTTAATTGCCTCTGCTGATGGGATTTGTGTAATCAACGACCGGTTAGTTTGAGACTTCAGCACTGAATACGGTAGCCTGCGAACAGCCTGTGAAACTTGACTGTAATCTACAGCGTTGTCATCTTCGTCGTCGTCGACGTCGTCGACGTCGTCATCATCTCCTGTCAGAAGCCCACAACCACGCACAAAAATGTAAGGAATGTGATGCTCAACAGCAAAATGAACGCTGCTTGTTACGCCCTGACACACCCAGTATCGGGGCACATGTATAGTACATTTGTTTCAACTGCAAAGGCAAGAAATAAGTTCAAATTCAGACGGTGATACATTTTGTCTGAATAAGAAATCAAAGTGGCGACTTCTGGTTCCGGCCTCAAAGTCCCTAAAAGTTCCGTTGACTGTGAAAGATTTCGGTTTGTAAAAGTATCCAAAAATAATTTTCAGTTAAAATTTTGGATTATTTTACTGCCAAATAGGAAATCTCTATAAAGCAATTCGTTATGGCATAAGGAAATGAAATATATTATATTTGAGAAAAAATATAACACATAGCACAGAGTTCCCTCGCATATGTTCTAATATTTTCGAAAAACGAGACGACAGTTTAAAAAACAGGCAAGTTCACGCCAAACGTTCGTTTTATCTCAAAAAAGAATTTATGCTGAATAGCACCAATCGTGACCTCAATAACTGCCCGTTCTAACAACCCTTTGGAAGACAGCACCCAAACGATTAAGAGGGCAGTGAGTCATAGTTAATTAGTGGTTCAGGATAAAACTCTCGTTCTACCCTGCGCTGGGCTTTTTCACAGCTACGTTTTTGTTTATTTTTTGCAGAACAAGGGGCATATGACTGGATCGGCTGATTGCAACCGCATATGATTGGCCCTTAGGGCGTATAAATAGCAAAGAACGGGGCAGAAGGCTATGAACACCTACCACAGCGGATTGCAAAATGACAGACGCGGGCTATGCTGCGACCGTACCAGGCATCATGAAAATTATTGGGGCCATTATCGGCTTCATCAACATGATCCTCATCGCCGTCGGCCTTAATGTTCACTCAAGTGAGGGCGGCTACCTACTGTTTGTGGCCATTTATGTTTGGGTGATGTGCCTGCTTCTCCTTCTGCTGCACATATTCGATGTCAGCGGCAGTAATGGCTTCGACATCTTCGTAAGTCATCATTTTCGATTTTTTTAAGTCATCTCTTATACTTATATAAACTCATGATCAGGGAGCATCAAAACCAAATTTTCGATTCAGCTTTGTTGCATTAAAATGCAAGCAAAAACAATGTGTGTATAGGTAGCACATACTGCCGCCTCTTTTTTCAGCATGTTCCATATTTCCTGCTCAGATTAAAAAATACGCAATATAATCACCAAAATGTGCAAAACAAAGGTCGACCTGTTAACGCTGATCGAAGTTATGCGTTTTGTTTTGTACTCCGGGCGTCGATATTTCAAAGGACTAAATGAATGAAGCGTTTCGTTAATAGTAACATTAATCGGACCTTTCTGTATGATCAGCTGGTCAAAATTGATCGCCTGCGTCTTAAAAAGACATCGCCTTAGAGCATTTGGCGGCATGCTTGTCTGACAAGAAAAAGATGAGTCTAGTGAGACATGTGACTTTCGAAAAAACACAATATTATATATTATAAGAAATAGATAGCCTAAAGCGTATATTGGTAATTGAGAATCCTTTTAGACAAAATCACAAAAAAATAAATACTGTTTTTAGACAGTGTATTTCAGACCGTCTATAGCTAAATATCTTGACACTAATTTGTATTAATAATAACAGTGAAATGTTGACCTGTTATCAAGATTCAATACAAGTTCTCATTTTTACGGTTAAAAGACACGTCGTTTTAGTATTTCTCCCGTTTATTCTTACATCTCAATTCCTACGAAACTAGATCGACTTTGATAGTGTTCTGCTTTGCAAAAAGCCCTAGTTTAACACTCAGTCTTTCGGGTAATTTATTTTAAGCACGGGAGTTCTAGTCATTGACGCATATGCTATCTTTTTACAGGAGGTAGTTGCACTAGGATTGATGGTTCTGTTCGTCTTCATCGCCTTCATTATTGCTGCTGTATATGCTGGCCGGACAAATTACAGTTATCTGATCGCCATAACGGTAAGCCACATATATTTGCCACTTAACAGACATGACAACTATCTCGATAAACCACATTGCGCAGAAATTTCGAAAGACATGATAGCAGTTCGGCCAAAAATAGACTGCAGATTTTATAAAAAATTAAGGGTTACCTGCCGATTTTTCGGTGAAAAGAAAATCCAAAAATCCTCTACCCTGCTAAAGGCGTTTTTTCACAAACTGACTAAGTACGCTCTAGTCGGATGAAAACATTTGTATTGTTTTTACGTTCCTTTAACACACTATTACTGCCTAAATCATGCTATGATCTTCGAATTTATGATTTAACTGCCAGTGAATGACCATGATCGTGCTTATTCATAGGAAAGAATTATTTTATGAATTTTAATGATCTTTGTATTTGAAGGCAAATTTGAGTGCTGGCATGAACATTGAGACTTATTTTATGGGCATGACGAAACTGGTACTCGCTTGCGTATTAGGTTCACTTGGCGTATATTAACTGCTGTAAATGTAGTGCAGTAGCGAACCGATAATACTTACGAACATTTAACTTAAAGCAAAATTGTTTTGAAATGTTTTCTTCAGGTCTTGTTCTTCATAGTACTCGTCACGTCCGTCGTCGACTTTGCCCTTCAACTACGAAAAATGGTCTGAGGATGGACACGGAAATTTTTGGAAGCCTCATCTTCATTTAGGCTGGTCAAAAAAGACGGAGGAATCCGTCCGCGACAGTGTCAATATTCTTTTTACAATACACATCAAAACTGCTGCTGGATCTTTTTTCTATTATGTCGAATGTAGCCGCAAGCGACATTCGTATTCTGCAAGGCAAATACGAACTAGATGCTGTAATCAAAGAAAGTACGTTAAGGGATTTGGGTGGTGCGTGGTTTTATTGCTGCCGTCCACAAAAATTTGAAAATTTTTTTGCACACTTCCAATAATCAGATGGGATGAGTAAGTTTGATGTCAGTTCTCTGCTTAATAACACTGAGAATGACAAACGTTGGTGCGTTTCTTCAAAAAATATGGTTAAAACCTCAGCCTAGGTTTTCAACTGAAAGACATAAAGGGTCAGTTACTTCGTATTTGTTCGTTTGGTACCTATTATCGCCATCAGACCTTGTCCCCCATGATATATTTTCATGTGAAAGCATTCTTGTTGCCACCCTAGTTCGTGAATCGTTATATAATAGTAGTTGGTATTTTGTTACTATCAAATTTCAAAGGTGAGTACTTACAAGTGTTGTCGGTGACACAACTATTGCGGTTTTATGAGACGGGTTTAAGTTTTATGCATCACTGTGAAAACAGACGGAAACACCTGATGAACGTAAAAAATGAAGTTTGGTTGCTACAGCATAAACTATTAGACCTTAGATGATGAACATGACGGTATTCTATGGGTTCAATTGAAATGAGCTGACGTCTTATTTTTATATAGAACTGATTGGAGGGACATCTGGACATTTGCATGAGAAATTAACTTTGCGCGAGGAGATTGAGGGCTAAAGTTATTATAGTCATTTGGGTCGATCATTCGACTGTACGAGAGTGATTAGTTTTGTGAATGAGATTTGGAAAGACAGTTCTCCCAAGCAGCACATCGACCTCATTCTATCCTAGAAAACTGGTTGTGCTTCATCGATAAACGTGCTTTAATATGCTTTGAACAGCGCTTTGGCAGGAGGTTTAGTTTTACATTCCTTCGCGTCAGGCATATTTCGGCCGTACACGCGAAACAAAACAAGTTTCGGACCAAGGATTTTCAATCAGGTTAAGCCAAATTGGACTTGGCTTATGGAACTGTTGAGCAAAATCAACTGACACAGCGCCTTACGCTCAAGGAAACAAAAATTAAGCCATGCCGACCGAGTTATACGGAAAGACTTTATCGCACAATTCCCATTCATAGTGTTTTACAGCATAAAAGGACTTGTACAAGTTAAATATAAGAAATGCAGATATGTCACGGAACACATTAGGACATTAGGGCATTCGATGTTAACCCGCTCTCCTCTAAATTGCGTCACACTGTTAAAAACTACAAAAACATTTAGTGTAGACAGATGCTACGTTAAACACGTGCAGGAATATATCAGTTCGCCCGTTGTGACCGACGCTGTCCACCATGTGTTCCTTAGCAGGTTAAGAACAAGCGCGGAGAATCGCGCGTGAATTAGTTTATAGTGGGAATAGACTTACGCAGCAAATACCGCACTCTCTCCTCCCCCGCCCACCTTGATCCGGTGTCCAAGCATTGTCATGATGGCCGGAAGTGGGTGGTGGCGCGGACCGGAACCGCGACTAGTCATACTACCCCACACCCGTTAAGGTTTCCCCACAGAGTGGGAGTGCCAGAAAGGACCCATTAAGAAGGAGCCATTGCAGCCCGACTCTCAGACCACCAGTCTGCCACATCACGCGAATGCACACAGCACTGGGTCGACTGAAAGCTTCGAGTTATCCCTTCAATTGGCAACCCTCCAAGCCACGGCCTGCAGTGCACCATGGTATCTTGAAGCGCTTCAGTTCGCTTATAGTGAGGAAATTGTGCTAAGTTGTCGATCGCACTTTCCCTCACTTTTTCCGGCTCCCAGCCACTGTCCGGGCCGGTCAGATTTTAGGCACTCGTCTGCGCGCACCACGTGCACGACGCGACTCCGCAAAGCACAAGCGCGAGAATTTTACACAACAGGGGATTAAGGTCATACATTTCGCACGTACGAGATTGCCAGAGATAATGTAAAGAAGGGCCATTTCGTCCTGACTATCTGTCCACCAGTTCGTCACTCTACACACACACACACAAAAGAGCTCGGCCGTCGTTGCCGACGATATCCACCGTGTGCTCCGCAGCAAGGTGAGAGTAGGGATGATGACTTGTGCGCGAGTTAGTTTATAGTGGTGGTGGACTTGCACAGCATCTACTGCACCATATCTTCCCCACTCCCCACCCCAACCCAGTGTCAAGACAGAGTCAAGAAGACCGGACGAGGGGGAGAGCGCCACACACAACTGGGCAAACTGCAATGACTGAGTGAATGCCAACCTTGCAAACCACGGCGCTTCAAGCACCGTGGTAGTTCAAGGCTAGGATCACATATGTAGTAGACGAACCACGCGCAGGAATCTAAAAAAACCACTGGCTACGCGAAGTAAAACTGGGTTGCTTATTACAACCAACAAAACTGCTTGACCAATTATTATATGACAAAATGTCTGCGTATCATTGCGGATCGAAAGACTAGTTAAAGACCGGGAGAAATTTGCAGATTTGTATTGGTTATTGAGTAGGAATTAAGATATTTTTCGTTACAAGCAATAAGCCAGTGGCCAAAATATTTCTACTGATTTAAAAGACGAAGTACAGAGTAAACTGAGTAGCGAAAGTAACTAAGAAGGAGCATAATTCAAGGGAAATTTTCACATTATTTTGTGGTTTTATGACTGCACGTATTTACAGCCGCTTAAGTATTTCTTGCCTACGAGTCGGTCGTGTGCACATTTAATAAATTTAGTTGGTGTAGTAATGTGTTTCTGAATTTAATTTACACAAGCAGTTAAAATACATTCAAGCAAATCTACCATACTAAATTACATTTTCCGGATGACTACTAACGTAGCAACTTCCTGTTAGTGATCATTTCTTAAGAACAATAACAGTCTAATCCGTCTGTTAAAATCTCCTGTGCCAGCTGGATGTGGACGTAAGAGCGGAAATCACTCACAAACCTGTGACTAAACAGTATCAAAGTTCGCTTGAAATAAAATAGAAACTTGCAGTTGTCTACTCCTCTTCCACCTCATTCTAAGAGTTACCATTCTATTTATTTGCTAGTCATTGCAGAATCTGAAATAATCAAACAAAGTTGGTGGGTAAATCGATTTATAAATGAATGCGAGGGGTGAGTAAATTTATTAGCCACATGTGCTCAGCTAAGTTCAACATAATGCATATTTTATTTGCAGTGTTTGCAGCTTGAAATAATGGTAACATTGTGACAATTTCCAATGACTGAGAACAGTCGAAAATGTAGATTAAAAAAGACCGGAATTAAAGCAAAACATATCTTTACTTTTACATAAGTAAACGGTCGAAATACAAGTATGGTACGGATATGGTTATAGCACTTGTTTTGCCGTCTACGTCAAATGCACTACTGAACCCATATTTAGTAAAATTTAGACAAAATATGCAGTGATGGTATGGTACATATAGATGTCGAATACTAAGTAAACAGATTTACTAAACCGCAATATCCTCTCTTCATACCCGACGTTCGTATCTGGCATGATGGACGCTTGACTGCCAGCATATAGCATAGTACTAGCAAGTGTGGGTGCGCTCTGATTGGCTTCTTGATCAGAAGAAAAAGCGATCGCTGGAACAGGGGTTTTATTCGCCTGACGTTCCAGCGATCGCTTCTTCTTCTTCTTCTTCTTCTTCTTCTCCTCCTCCTCCTTCTTCTTCTTCTTCTTCTTCTTCTGATCATCTAGTTCCTGGAACTCGCATCTGCGCTTGTATCGGCGATTGGCTTCTTGTTGCTTCGCTGCACGCCCCGCCTGACGACATGGTATGAGTACCAACTCATCCTGAATACAATATAAAAGCATCCCGCTAATCCTACTTCGTTTTTATGTTTACACCAGGAACTCTTAGCACGCCGCTATGGCATACTAATGCATATACGATTGTGTCTGTTGGAGGATACCTGTTAACCTTCGTCACTTGAGTTCGAATTGCTGCTTTACTAACGTCTTTAGCCTTTATTCCATCAGAGTACATGAAACAGACAAGAATGTCTTGGAAGACTTCCCAGTCTTTCGTCATATCCTACGTTTGACATTGTTTGTCCGAGTGGCCAGTATTGAGATATCCTTTAAATTTTGACCTCTGGCCCGTTTGCTGACGATAAACATTTTGTCTGAATACCGAACCAAGAACTTCAGTCTGCAGTACTGCAAGCTCAGTGGACTTAGCCATTTAAAAGCAGATCCGAGGAGTCCGGAAATCGATAAATTCAGTGGCGCGCCTTAGCCGCCTCCAGCTTGTCGCGTCGAAGATGCCGCGGCCTCTCGTGGCAAAATCTGTTAGACAAGCTTGAGATGGTGTCTGAACCGGGAGCTGGCGATTTACTATGTCAAAGCAACCTACTGGGCATTCAGAGATTTGGAGGAGCTTCGAGGACTGTGATGTGTCGACAGGGAAAGTCGTTATTGCCCACGCTGAAAAGGTATAGCGTCAGGCTAAGGTTATCAAGCAGGCATTTTCCATACGTTGATCATCTGTATTTTGCATTGCCTGTGACGATTGACTACCTAAGCATTTCAGAGTTTCGCTCCGCGTTTGCAACTAGATTGGGATTTTGAAAGTGCGTCTGTGCTGTCCTGTCCGCCGACACGATGTGCCACCTATTTTTCCCTTTGCATTTAGTGGGTCACAGGGGCTACTTCGTATTGCCTTATGGGGTTATGGAATGATGACAGTTCGAATCAGACACAGGTAGTCATATCATCAAGTGTCACCATTTTATTGAGATCAGATACTCTCGCGTTACGATAAAGATGACACGTTTGGCATAGGCTGTGCTGAGTGGGGCGTTATGTCGAGACAATTGTATTTATTCCTCGGTTAGCACCTTGGACAGCACCTGCAGATAACGTCGGACAATGCTGATTGAGATACATGTGTATAACAACAACTCGCTACTGAGGCGGGTCTATACTGTTGTTGTCAGACATTCATATAATCTAGTCTTCTCATTTTCACTCTGTTGATGGTGTTTGTGAATCTCCAGGTGACGATTCTGGAGGAGCCCTCGGATCATTCGTCCGCTGATCTCGCCAGATAAGGGTTGACTGAGGTCTGTGATCGAGCTAGACGCCAAAATCAGGTAATTTCTGAAACGCCATCACGGGAATCAAACCTGCAGATTGACAGAAACTTCTCAGGGGGTAAGGGTTGTATGTCGCTGAGGCACGCAGGGGCCAGATAGAAGGCACGCAAATGTGCGTAATATGATCAGAAGACAGAGTTTTATTCTGCACAGTCGTGGGATGAGGTACTTTTAAGAAGAAGGCAGCAACATTTGCGCTTACGTTTCCAATTGATGCAGAGTTGATCGAAGCTATTTAAAGCGGTGTTGCACTGTGCGCAGTATAGATTAGGTTACAATGCTGTTGGTTGCAGCTAAGTGTGCAATTACATTTCGCATTTACCCCTTCATAATCCACTTTCTCAGGATTCACAGGAGCTTCGCAGTATGCCCAACTGCGGTTAATATATAAACTTGCAGTTATTATCTAAAACTATGGTAGTTCTTTAATGACCCTAGTTAAGAAGGAACATCGTCTTCGCAAGAGTGTAGTGAGAATTAATGCGCGCATCATCTTAACAGAAAGGTGGCCTTACATTGTGTCTAACTCATCCTGCCTCCTAGCAATTAGCCTCTCCTGCTGGCAGGTCGTTGTTTGATTGACAAACCCAAACGGCCGTCGACGCCTATCGTTCGCGACCTGGCTCCCAAATAGGCGTTATTGGGGCTCAGCTAAGTAATAGTATCATGGGGTTCCCATTAAGAGAGGCAGAGGTCTGCAAAACCAAGTTATCCCTATCAGACTGGCAGTCTTCCAGGTTATGCCGGCTCGGGCTTCATGACAAATTCTGAGCGCGTATGGTTGTTTGAAGTTAGAAAGCTAAGGTCAGGATCAGAGTTGTATGGCTTTGCTATCTCCTTCTCTCCCCTCAAGAACTTTCAGAATCAGGCCAAGTAGGCGCAACTTTGAGCGTAACGCGTAGGGTGTCAAGAATTTTCCATGACATGAGAGACACTGGTGAATGAACCCTGTCTTCTTTTGTTAAAAAACAACCAGAAATGCTTTTCCCCAGCTTTTATTATCGAATGTCTAGAGCTGGTGAATTCACAAACTGCCTACATCCCCGATGAAAAATAAGCATATTTCGAGCGTAAAATACAAATAGTTTACTTAACGAATGTATCCTGAACGTATCCTACTGAAGTAAAATTCATAAAATGTGTGTGCATTTATGAAAAATTTGTGACCGATAGAAAACCGGCGCATGTACATCGACCGAACCTCCAAACGACCTCCAATTAAAGGATGATGCAAAACAGTCACTGGTGGTGATGTCACATTGGTCACAGCCAAGCATGTTCTTAAAAAAAACAAAAATACCACAAATTCGAATAATCGTATTAGATGGGAAGATTGGACTTTACAGAAACAAATATAAATTTTTTGAAAGGAATTTGTTAATAAAGTGCCGTGGACAATGAAGTTATACAAAAGTATTTCCGCGCATGCATGCATTATGCAGTGTGACAGCCGGGAAATTACCCTGTACTTGATTAGCTTTTTTAAAATGTTCATAAAAGAATTCAATGTTGTTTTCCGTGTTCGTATTATATGAGAGGAGATGAACTAAGATGATTAGACTTTTATTTGATTTCGCAAATGAAAACATCATAGGAATTAAAATTTTCATATAACATTATATGCAAAGATGCCACTCAGTGAATAAAAAGTGGGTGAAATCAAGCGGATGCAATCAGAGGCAAACCTGAAGGATTTAGGCGCCTGCATGTAAGAAGCAGTCTACAATCGGTTTTGGACTGATGCCTTTGTCAATTCATAGTTAAAGCACCAGTTTCACGGCTCGTAATTTTTGTGAAAGTATCAGAAGATACGATTTGAGCCTCTATATACACTTTTCTTGTTATGACGCAGCGATAGGCACCTTAGCAGACAAGGTTATTTAATATTCAGAAAATGAGATGAAAGGCTAATTTACAGTCTCTTTCAGTCCTCAGTTCGACATAAATTTCGCCTATCAAATTCTCCCCAATCGGTCTGACATCCCAAATCTCGAACCTCTGAAAACTTTCAATCACTGAAGTCAACAATGTCAGCGACATATAATGTGTGGATATCTGAACACACATTTTGTGTGCGACGATGGGGCCCGAAATTATCGCCGCCTAAGAACAGTTCATCTCGGTAAGATATGCATAATCTCGAAATATCTGCGGGACCCGATATCTTGATAAAATAACTTTTTCTAAATGCGACTTATGAACACGACAGAAGCGCCCATGGAATGCCTGGCGTAAAGAAGACCTGCGGAAGGTTTTTCGCGAAATCGCCGTTTCTCACCGTACACAGTAAAGAAGACAAGGCGTTGCTCACCGTGGTATGACTGACTTAAAGCTAATCACCACGGGAAAATGTATAGGTAGCCCAGATTGCACATATCTTGTTACCTCTTCAAAGTAAGTAGTAGGAATTATGACTAGGGTTTCAAGTATTTCATTGGTGCACACTTATTGCTCGGCGTCTGTGGCAGGCCAGTTTGACACATTAATATGTTTGATTCATATAGCGCGCATTGGGTTGCTAAGGCATTGGTGGACTTAAACAAAGGCACCACGGTGGTCTCTTTTGGCAACATTCATTGAGTCTGACTATAAAACCTTGATAAGAACACAACTCCTATTTTTTGGTGACTTGTATAATTAAGTTCGTTTGACACAACACATTTGATTAACTGTGATAATTAAAGTCTGTGCTGAAGCGTGCTTCATGGAGAAGTGGCTGACCATGGGACGAAAAATGATTCACAGAAAAAATTCGAACAACTAAAAGGCGTTATCGGGAAATAAAAAAGTCTTGCGGCGTCGGTGGACAGAAATATGACAAACAGCACAGAATCAAAGATAAAACATGGATCAGGGTAATAGGAATAGGATAAATTGTGCACCTCGAGCATGAGAAAATATAAATTAGTCAAAAAATTAAGTATTTACGGGCGACAGGAATGGAATTACTTGATGGTGAAAAGTAAATTACCAGGCAAGATTAAAATAGGTCAAAATTTGAGCTTCAGAAAATTAAGTGTTGCTGGATTCTTTCTGCAGATCTATTGTGGTCGTTAAGAATCACTATTAGCCATTAGGTATTATTTTAATTTCTATTGCGCACTGATATTAAATTGATAAAATATGTGTGTACATGGGACACACAGCCGACAGCAAGATACTCATATATAGTCCGAGCGTGATGTACTCTATTAATGAGACTTAACCTGCTGTTTATTCATAGAAGACAGAGCAATAACATATTCAAGCACACCAGGACAGCAGTCAGAAAACAGGCCATTCATGCTTCTGAAGGAAAAGAAACACGCATTATTTTTCACAAGTTCAGAAGTCATATTCTTTTCCTTCAACCTTCCGCACACGCCAGTGTAATAAGCGGAAAAGGTGTTATCCAAACAAAAATATGTAAACTCAGTGAAAATATGTATACCTGCAAATAGCTAGTTTGACAGAGATCAGAATATCGTCCCTCTTAACAAGACCGCTCATTAGGTCTCAGAAAATAGGATCTGATTAGAAAATGTGAACGGAGTTCGTGATTGCAATTTGAGCTTATACAAGCCGAGTAGAGTCCTTGTTTTTCGAAGGGCAATGGTAACCTGACGTTGTCTCGATCTTCCACGTCTGCTAACACAGTTCCTATGCAGAGTTAAAATTCCGCGCTCTCTTCTCCTCTCCCACCTCTGCCTCGTGTCATGAAAACCTCGGTTAAGAGTG